CGATAGGAATTATTCATCTTCCCTTATGTAAAATTTACAGTGATTTGCGGCAATAAATGCCCAACTTCATACCACGCCGTTCACCTCCCCCATCAACACCCCCACCCAACATTCCACCACTTTCCTCCCTGTTATTACCCACATAGCAAGAGACAAAATGCAAAATGCGTTTTTGCATTTGTATACATGCAAAAACACATAAAAACTGTGCGTGTCTTTCGACCATTTCCAACTCGAGAAGCAGAAAAGCTGGAAGCTAAAGCTTCGAGAGTATGTGTCTACCCCCTAAGCGGCCCTCCTGTTTTAATACTAACATTCACTGTGTATTCTAGGTAAATCAGAAGCTTATTAAAGTAAGGCTATGATAGCATATTTGATCTCTGTCTATTTTCATAAGTAAGTCTGACATTCCAAGGAGAAGAACTGGATTTTAAACCCAAGCGAGAACGCGCACCAGGCGGGCCGGAGCGATTATGCGTTTTTGCACTTTCGTACCGTAGCAAGATCGCAAGGAGTAAGTGTAGCTACCAGGCGGGCCGGTGCGATTATGCGTTTTTGCACTTCTCGTGCCGTAGCAAGATCGCAAGGAATCGCAGTAGCTAACCCTGTGACATACTGGCCCTCGATGTACTGGTGTAGACTTCAGTGACCCGGCAAATGGAAAGGTGCTGGTCCGCAAAAAAGGCCACACTAGAAGAGTTAAATTTGAAATCTTTTAGCTGCACATAAGTAGGGAACACTTTCTTAAAATTCAAGCCTTCAGCTTATCTTTTTGCCGAATTGGCAGCTTTCCCACCAAAACTTTCACATGTCCGTACGTGATTACAGGACGGTTTTAAGGAGCTGAATTTAAAATCTTTTGGTTATAAATGAGTAGGGAACATTATCCTAAAGTTTCAGCCTTCTAGCTTTGTTCGTTCCCAAGTTAGTGATTTTCGCGCCAAAATTCCCATGTGCCTGTACGTGCGCCCCGGGTGCTTCTAAGCACCTGATTTTGCTCGTACATGAGTGAGGAACATTCCCTTAAAGTTTCAGCTTTCTAGTTCTTCCCACTCCCGGGTTAGTAATTTTCGCTCCAAAATCTCCACTCGCTCGTATGTGGGCTCGGGCGCTTAAGCACCTGATTTTGCTCGTACATGAGTAGGAAACATTCCCCTAAAGTTTCAGCTTTCTAGCTTCTCACCTTCTCCGGTTAGTGATTCTCGCGCCAAAATTTCCACGCGCTCGTATGTGGGGCACGAGCGCTCTTAAACACCTGAATTTGCTCGTACATGAGTAGAGGACATTTCCTTAAAGTTTCAACTTTCTAGTTCTTTCCGCTCCCGGATTAGTAATTTTCGCGCCAAAATTTCCATGTCCTTGTACGTGGGCCCCGGGCGG